TTAATAAAATTATAAGAAAACAACACATGGCTTTGGTAGTATATATTTACACCTTTGTTTTAATATATATAGTTATTATGTTATATATAAAATTAATTTTCTTAAGTAAATATAAGACATTTTATCTTCAATTATATAAACATACTCTTTAAATAATTCTATTCCATACAGTCCAAAAAACAAACTTCAAGTACAAGTGAATTTATTCTACTCAGTGATAGCAGTTCATCCTACCGTTCAGAGCTAACCTGTACTTCCTTACAAGCGAATGAAACGTCGTTCGCTAATTTTAGAAGAATGCGGAACTCCCCACCACTATATAGTACCTCCACCTCTAACACAACAGCAAAATCCTACAGCAACAGACCAAAACGTGGTCGACCTTTCCCAAAACATAGAAATCGTTTCGATGCCTCATATTTAGCACAGCTTACCGAGAAAGAACGTAAATACTGGGAAAAGCGTTACAAACATAATGAAGCTTGTCGACAATTGCGTGTCAAGCGCAGACAACTTGAAGAGGCAGAAATCGTGGAAGAACAAAGATTGCAGCATATAAATGCAGAATTAAAGATCAAACTCCTCAAATACTCGCATATAGCTGAAACACTAAATAATATTGCAAATAAAAGGACATTTTAACATGTTCACTTGTTAGTTGGGGAATTTACCAAACACATTTATATATACTCTAGTTATTAGTAGGGTTATTTAATCTACATTTAAAATAAGGACTATAGTGGTCTATTAAGGCCTATTGTTATCAGTACAAAGAAATAGTTAATTCGTTAAATCGTGGTAGTAAAAATTTTATATAAAAATTATGAAATATTAATTAAAATTAAAAAATATATATGATTTCTACAATAAAAAAAAACAACATATATAGTTCGTATAATACATTAATTTAATTTAAGATTAATTAATTAAATTGTATTTTATAAAATGTTTTTTTTACATATACAAATACATATAATATCTAATATAAAAAATTAAAAAAAGAAAAATATGCATTAGCTGTAAAGTTATTACTATATTAAAACTAATACAAAATTTATTGTAAAATTTATAATAAAAAAGGTTCAGCAAAAACGTGTTTTTTTAAATAAAATAATTAAATCCAACATATAATAACCAAAACTTTATTTTATTTTTATTTCTTACATAGCAACCACCTCATCTATTAGCTACATGAATAAAGAATATGTGGCCTGGGAGAAATTCCGACTATCTTTAGAAACGACGAAGCAACCCACATTAATAGCTACAGAGGAGATAAACGCACCCAATGATATGAAGACTTCATTAGAAGGCAGTGCAGAGGTGGTTATTGATTTTATCTTTTATCTTAATTTATTTATTTATATTAACAAGATTATATAAAAACAACAACTGAACAGTAATAATATATAATTTTACACCAAATATTAATAATTGTCATAAAATTGTGTTATATTTTCTCTAATATATTTTTTTTTATAAAAAAATAATTTTTTTTAAGTTTAAAAATATATTTATTTAATAAATTAATTTTAAGTATCATAAGCAATAGTTCAAAGGCTATTGATATACTTATTTATATTTTATATTTTTTATATTTATATTTTATTTATTTATTTATTATTAAAAGTAAAAAAAATTAATTTATATAGTTATACAAGAATTTGTGTGCTTAGACCTCTTAGTAAATAAACCTCCCTGCTTAGATCTATAGTAAGTAAAAAATTTAAAATAAATAATAAAATAAAAAACCAAATTTATTATTTGTTTTATATTATTAAATAATATTTAATTTAATACTTAAATTTAGAGTGAAATTTATTTTATTAAATAAAATTAAATTTAAGTCTTAAATTTAAAGAAAAATTTACCAAAAACTTATTTATTTAAAAAAATAAACAATCTTAGTATATTAAATATTAATATTATATTTATAAAAGGTCCAAGCAGCTAAATCCCTGTATAACTACATATCTAACAATTATAAAGTAAATTATTTACTTTAAACAATAAATATATAAATAAATAAAAAATAAATAACTATACCAATAGCCCCTTTGTGTGGACAATTTCTTATGGTACTTATAAATAAAGTTAATTTTCTAAAATTTAAAAAATTACTAATAAATTAATTTTTTTTTATTTAGCCCAAATTACCAGCTTCAAATGCAAGTGAAATTATTATGTTAAGTGATAGTAATTCATCCTTTAGCTCTCTGGAAACTATAACTACAGAAAGTAATAACACCGTTGATTTGACTAGTAACTACAACGATGATCAATCACAGGACACAACACTTAGCTACAATTTTTTCGATATAAGTCAATCCGTAAAGTTTGGTTTCTCAACAGCACCAAACTCTCCTACACAAACTAATTCCTCCGCCTCATTCGTTACAACAACGCCTAGTAATAGGGAAAAAAAAAGTGGACGACCTCGCAAGGAACACAGCGCTCGCCCAGATCCATCATATCTGGCACGACTTAGTACGAGAGAACGCAAATACTTGGAAGGACGTTATAAAAATAACGAGGCTTGTCGTAAATCACGTTTTAGAAGCCGCCAGCGTGAAGAGGCAGAAAAAATGGAGGAGCAAGCCTTGCAGCGCAAAAATGCTCAATTGAAGACCAAACTACTAAAATACTTACACATATCAGAAACTTTAAATAATATAGCGAATAAAAAGATTTAAATCTTTTATTCTATCATATTGGACTCTTATTTTGAAGACGTACCAATCACATTTGTATCTCCTTTTTTCATTTTTATAGTTAATTTAATCAACATTAAATATAAATATAATTTTATATATATTTAGCTATAATTAAACAGAAATAATTCATAGGTTGAATTGTCATTGAAGAAATTATATTTTTTAATAAAGAGAATAAGACGGAATAAGAAGAATAATAAGAAATTTAGTTTAATACTAAATGAATTTATGATTTAAATAAATTTATGATTGTTTATTAACAACAAATGAAAGCAAACTTTTTATTTTGTACTTGTAAATATTTTTATTTTATTATAATTGATTTTTATATATTTTGAATATAATTAATAAAACTAAAACTAATAAACAAAAGATATATACTTGATAAAATTACGCTAATTTATTATATTAATCAACCTAAATTTATTTATAAACTTTATAATGTAATGACATACAACAGTATTAGTTGCAAAATATATTTAATATATTTTATATTATATATAAATTTAAAAAATTTATATATGTATATAATTCTAAAGGTAATAAAAATATATTTTGATAATATGCAATCGTGTTTAATTTTAATTAAATTAATAAACGTGATACATAAGCCATAGACCTATTTTTAATTTATTACATAGCGGCTTAATAAAATTTTGGGAGGACGGAATTGACCATAGGTTAAGATACAGAAGTTATTGTCTTTCATAATATGCTGTAGTTAAATTTCCTTTTTATTTAAGATAATTTTAATTAAAAATAAAATCTGTATCTTTTTGGTGTTATTCTTGGAACTCTGATGGAAACTCTGATGTTCGCTGTTCCCAACGCTGAAAGGCATGATTCCCCCATTTTCGTTGAAGTTAAAAAACATAAGTCTATAAACTTAGCTATGTCCCTAATTTTGCAAGATGACAGCTCTGTCAGATCGGTAAAATAAAGCTTCCCAAAGATTTTTAAGCTTCTCTCAACCAATTATGTACATTGACATATGAGGTAGAGTACAGTTGTTTCCTTATATGCAGAGTCACAACCCTAAATATAGTATGTATTTTTAGTATGCAGTCACCTGTCAGCCGTGATAACGTAGTGCTGAGCAAGGTAAAGCAGCTGACTGATACGTTAATTGCCCAGTTTGGATGCGATCGATCTTGAAACCTGACAGGAGTTTTTATCTGCATTTTTATTTTTTATAATAATGTTTTCCTATCGTTTAATTGTTTTTTTTTTATAAAAATATGACAAGAATTTTACAAGATTTCAGATCTTTATTAACCAGTAATAAATTTTTAGCATTTTAATAACATTTACTACGCGAATTTGATTTGCTACGATTTCTCGTTCGATAAGTAGACCCATCATGAGTAGTATCATGCATATCATTTTGTCCAAGTATTGTTTCCTCTACACTAGAGTCATCTTCTGGAATTTCTTCATCACTATCGCCGCGACTAGCAGAAGTCAAGGAAACAGTCTAAACCAAAAGTATTTATTATAGATATATGTTTTCAATAATATTAAGTGTAAACAGTACCTGAGAAAGAATTTCAGCGCCATCCAAGTCTTTATTTTTAAGTACACTTATATTCAACACCGATGCACACTTATGTCCAGTTAATATGGCTTTAATGCGAAATACTAAGTTTTCCACAGTTTCACGTAAGAATGGTATTTGATTGACAATAGCTGAATTCTTTTTAGTCTATCATAACAATATACATCATAACAAATTTACAATATTGCAATTGTAAGTAAAAATATTTAATTACATTACCTTTGAATGACAACAAAGATTGTGCAAATATCGCGTTATATTTTGCAAACTTTTCAGAAATTCACTTATACGTTCCGTATCGCCACGTAAATAATCTTCCAATACAGTCACACCGTGTTGTAGTACTAATTTTATATATAAATGGGCATACTAGAAATAAAAGTAAATGATATATTA